ATATATACAATAATGATAATTTTCGATATGCTAAAGAATGACAAACGCGCAGACATGGCAAATTAAATAAGCTCGATGAAATCATCTCAGACCCTCAACAGCGCATTTTTTCATCTCATTTCGGCGGCGTCGTGTTGGAATGAGGAACACAACCATCAACTATTTTACTACAAGCGATGATTGCAGGCTCCGATGCGGTAATTGTGGGTAAGCTGCTCACCTTATTGTCGTTGTTGTATTTGCTTATAAAAATTATTGTGATGCTGCCGCTCTAGCTGTGACTGTTGGTGGTGCGGAGAGCGCGTTTAATAATGACGTTAATGATGGAACTAAACGTGGCGTTTACTGAGCATAAATTGGCGCTGAAGCTTGACTTTTGTTGTTATAATTTTTTAATCATACATACATACATATATGTATGGGTATGCAGAGGATAATGCCCTGCAGAAAAAATTGTGATTACGTCACTTGAAATTAAATACTCTCGAAGGGCTTTTGTTGCCTGTCGTGGATTTTTATCGGAAAAAATGTATCGCTGGTCTTGCTTAGTAGTAGTATGTACCTCTAACCACAATACTTAATACGAGAATAGATTCAACTACCAAGGACGGTCTGACTAGACACCGCGCAGTAGCGCACACGAGGTGTGCCTAAATATGTTCTCAGATTCTTTTTGCCTACGCTATATGCAGGAAGGCGAGGTGGATTCATCTTAGCACTTCTCCACTTCTGCCTAGCTTTTGCCAAACTGAGATTGAAATATCTGGGTTGACACATCTTCGGCGAACCTCGTGAAGTCGCTGGGATTGATTTTAACCGTCTTAGAAAAATTGTGGTAAACTCGAAACGCTTCCACGATCAGGGAGATCTGGTGTTCCATTTTTAGGAGTTTTAGATATCATTCAATAGTTTAATCAATACAATGAGATCCACCGCTACCTTTGACGCGAGAATCTACCCCACGACTTAACCTAACCTGACACCCGGCTTTATAACCTTTTCCTAATTAAAGACATATCTTCGTGATATTGTTCGTATTTGATTATTTTAGGTTATGATTTAAATCAATGTATTGAAAACAATTTTGATCATTTTTTAGATATTTTAAAATTACGATACGATTTCCTACAAGGTATTCGGATATTTTTTTTGCACTCATTTCCACAACAAATGCCGCGATGAACGTCATAATAACGAGCTAGTATGATTTCCAGCAGCATACAAGAGTTACAGATAATTGAATTAAATGAAGAAGAATGCAGACAAGATAAATACATGCGCATATCCTATACGGCTATAAAAGTATACAATTATATGTATATGAATTTTGCTAAATAGTCAAAATTGAAACACACATATATATATATATATGTTTATTTGTATTTGTACAGTAACTACAAAGAGGCCTGCAGATAAGCTTTGGCGGCAGAGCGGAAGAGTGGCTGTTGTTGCAGCAACAGTTACTATCCCGATAACTGTTTATCCAGTCTATAATAAAAACACAGACAGTCGGTCAATTAGTCACCTGCGCAAGCGAATTTGTGAATTTTTGTTGCTGTTTCTTTGTTTCTGCGCTGACGTCAGCACATAAAGTGCCTTGATTTACCCGCTCAGCTTACTTTTTTATGAGATTATAATGATTGTGATATTATTATTAAATATATTGTGAATTTATCTAAATATGCATATGCGTTATATATATATATATATGTATATATACATATATGTGCGTATGTGTGTATGCAGATAATTTAAGCTATAGCGTGTGCTAAGTGGTAAATGGTAAATGGCTACTTAACTAAGTAACTAAAATTTATGCTATGCCTTTTAGAGGCAAAACTAGATAATAATTTAATATCCGATATTATTAAGTAGCTAAACATTAATTTTTTTGAATTTGTGCATATCTATGGATATTAATGGTTTTGAATATATACATACCATACATGACTAATATCCAAAATTTGTACGTATATATATTTTTTTAATTATTTGTTTTTTCTTTTTTAGATTTGCTAAAATAAGTCGATCGAAAATCTGGGAAAACAGCCGTAACTAACACAAATTTATCAATCATTCAAAAATTGTAAAACTAGCACCTACTAGTTTTGAAAATCCGACAATATTATTGTTAAATTTATGAAAATTAGTAGAATAGTCAACACAGACTTATTCAGGCATTTTAGATCCTACAAATCTAGCATTAAGGTTTAAGACCAGTCTACGATTTTCAAAAAAACAATTTCATTTGCTTAAAACACCCTTCAGGGTCATAAAAACATTATTCAATTAATAAAATACTAAAAAAATAAAAACCCTGTCCAATCCACTGTAGTGTACAAGATTTTAGGATAGTCAGTTGCAGTACATAAAGCTTTAAACGCCTGTTTCTCGAAACGGTTTTTGGAGACTATAGTAATGTGTGTTTTTTAGAAGTTTTCAATGTGGCAATACTTTTTTCTTAGTTGTTTTTTTTTTGACAGCTGTTACTTCATTTATACACAGTTTGGTTTGCCATTTCATAATGAACAGACTTACTCCGGTTACTGGTTTGGAAATCGTCCAAATTTATTACCAAAATAATGGTTTGGAAAAAAATTAAATTTTGTAAGCTCACTATTGGTTTAATTTGGAGTGATGATAATCTACAAGCCATTATTGAGACGTAGTAACATCCTCAAAAAGTCACTGTTTGGGGTTCTCTATGGGCAGATGTAATCATTGGTCTATATTTTTTTAAAAAATGAAGCCGGCTGTAATGTTACAGTCAAGGGGAACGCTATAGAGCCATGTTTAATATCTTTTCGTACCTGAATTGGATGATGTTGATGTGAATGACCTTTGAATCCAACAAATCAGCGCTACTAACCATACAGCTAACGACACCATCAATTTATTTAAAGAAACTTTTGGTGAGCGCATAATCACTCTTCTTGGGCCTAAGGCGTGGCCTCCTAGATTATGCAATTTAACAGCGCTTAACTATTTTGGTGGGTTTATTTGAAGTCGTTTGTCTACACAGATAAGACCGAGATGATTGACGCCTTCAAAATAATATTCAGCACGTTATTGCTGACATATACCTGACTTGCCCGTAATATTTTTTAAAACATAATGGCACCTTTATAAGAAAGCTAAAATCTTGACCATAACATTAATCTATATCAGTTTTATTTTTTATTTTTTGGAACCCACATGTTAAAAAAAACACGCTTTATATATCCACTTGAAATTGGAACTTAGTTTCACAGTGATACGAGTATTACCTAGTAGCCTACGTATGATGTGTTTTTTACTATTTCAACATTTTTTTTATAGTTTTTAAGAGTGCTAATTTTTTCGGTTCGGATTTTTTAACTTCCCGCTAAGAAAATTGAAAATTTTCTAAAAATCGGGAAGATATTGGTTTCACCCCATTTTGCAAAAAACGAGTTCTCAACAGATCTCGACGTTTTGAGGGTCGGGGAAGCTTCCCCGAACATTTCTACGATGATGTCCGTATGTCTGTATGTATGTGTGGATGTATGTGTGTATGTGTGGATGTATGTGTGTGTGTGTGGATTTATGTGACCCTCTTATAACTTTTAAACGGCTCAACCGATTTGAATAAACTAAACGGCATTCCAAAGGGTTTCATTGCACTTGAATTTCGTGTGAGTTTGGACCCAATCGGACCAGTAGATTTTGAGAAATCTCAAAAATAAAAATTTTCGAATTTCTTCCAAACGACTTGACCGATCGACACCAAAAACTAATCAGTTCTAAACCTTGAAAAAACACATCGTTTGCCGCAAACCGGGTCAAAATCGGTTGATTTACTTGCGAGATATCGAAAACGAAAAATTTCGAAGAGCTCAAAAGCAGTGAAAAAAGCGAAATTTGAACGTTAGCGTATGAAATTAGCGGGAAGTTGCAGGGATGGCCCTTGAGGCCAACCGTTTTCCACATTTTTTACATATCTGTCATTTATGATCCTTTTTCTAATTTTTTTCGGATAGCACGAGTTTCTATCATCGCCCGTCGGTCGAGGCCTTTTTGAAGAAGTGGATTCCAAAGGCTAGCTCAGTAGCCGCCATTTTGTATCAAAAATTCGAAATTCGATTATTTTTGCTTTAAACTTAGAATAAATTGCCAAAGTTAAGCCAACTTTAAGGCTTTCTTAAGAAGGAACCCAGAAGGAAATACTGGCTTGTTCTGGCACCTGATAACTAAATCGTACTTGAAATTTTTAGTTTTTTGGTTACTTTAAAAATTTTACAGGTTCATCTAAGAGTCATGAAAACTGAAAAGTAGGCCAGAAAGCGTATTTCTCAAATGGAATAAAAAGGCTGGAGCATTGCTGAAGAAATTAATCGCAATTTTTTTCATTCTTTGTTTTAGGTTGGGAACTTTTCCGGCCATTCGTATGCACAGACTGGTGCGAATAAGCAAAAGAAATAAAAACGGAGCCATATTGCATTATTTATATATTTAGTCACACAGTTTTATAGGAAATACTCAACAATGAAAATGTTTCCATATTACCACTGAATTTGAACATAAAATCTCTAAGTAGCGACTTTTTATCACCCACAATTGTTTTTTTTTTGTTACTTCCAGACCTCAGAAGGAAGAAGAAGCATTGATGTTCCATGAAGCGAAGAGATATATACGTTGTGCACTCACAGTTATAAATTCACTAATAAATAGGTACCTTGATTTTACCACAACAAAAACTAAACACACTCAACTATACTTTGACACACGGTTTAAATAAATTCTTATTTCCGTGTTAAAAATCACGCAAACACGGATAATCAAATAAACTATACACAATATACAGCTCATGAGTACAGAACCACACTATGTTTAAGAATTAGAAGTTTTTCACTTTCCAGCAAATATCAATATAGAAGCGAATAATTGTTGAGTTGCATAATTTGCACAGTGAATAAATTTGCCATCAAATAATATTTATGCACGTGTTTGTTTGTATGTTTTGTAAATATTTGCGCACTTACCGCGACAGAAATCCACCGCCGCCATCGTCTCGTATCAGCAAACGGCCGCTGTTGTGCTGGTGCATTCCCTGCGATGACATATCGATAAACTCGCCACTCCCCACCGCTGTGGGACGGAAGCTGCTGCTACCCGAGCTCGTAACACTGCCCGAACGACTAGCCTTTCCACCGGCGCCAACAACTACACCGCCACTATTACCACTCAGCTGTGGATATGAGATCAATTGCTGCTGTTGGTGTGAAAATGATTTTGTTGTCGATGTAGATGTAGATGTAGATGCAGATGCAGCCGCCGACGCTGCAGCAGCTGGTGTGATTGGTATTAATGCGCCAGCTGTATTACCATTGCCCACAGTCACGGGCGACGGTATGGGTCGAGGCGCTGTGGCAAGACGATTAGTTTCTGGTGTGTGCGCAATACTCGTATAATGCTGCGGGTTGAAGGGGTGAGCGATGCCAGCGACGGAGACGGAAATGTGCAAATGGGCAGGAATATGGTTATTAGTAATATGTCATAAACATACAATATATTGGCAAGAAAAACAAAAAGCAAAGAAAAATAAAAAACAATGTTGAACTTACCATCTGCAGTACATCGCACTCCTTGGGCACTACATGCAACGTCAACACTGAAGGCGTTTGCTTGATCATCGACACGATTGTACTGTATGCAAGCCCGGCGATGGGTGTGTTGTTCACCATTAGAACGCGATCGCCCGTCTGCAGGTTGGCGTAGTGAGCAGGTCCGTTCGTTTGAACTTCTTTTATGAAAATGGTTTCCATCGCTTTCACTTGGTGGTGGTACGGATCAGATGCTTCCTACACACGCCAAAGCCAGTCGGTTAGTTAGTCAGCGAGCCAACCAGCCAGCCAGTCAACCAAGCCAAGTCGAGTCAAGTCAACAACAATCCAACAACGCAACGCAAAGCCAGTCAAAGTGAGCCAACAACACCGAAAAATCGAGCGGCGAGAGCAGCAATTGGAGTCGCAGTGGAAATCGGCGATAGCGTCGGTGTGTGTTGCGATTCGTGTGCGAAAGAGGTGAAATAAAAGCAGAAAATTGAGTGAGTGAATGAGTTGCGCGACGGTTAAGTGTGAGAAAGTGTGCAAAATAAAGCAAAAGTAACATAATAATAACTCCAAAGCGGCGAGGGGGGAGGGGGGCGGTGGTGTAAGAGATACATATGTTGGTAAGTTTTTGTTTAGTTTTATTATTAGTTTTTTTTGTATTGTTTTCTCAAATGTATGTATTTATAATGACTGCTGTAAAAAAAAACAAAACAAAATAAAACTCAACGAGCAATGTCTGTTGGTTGAAAATACGAAAGAGTGCTGATGGTGGTGCTGGTCGTCACGTTCGTTTTTATTTTACGAGTATTACTCTTGCTATTGTTGGAGGTGTTTGTGTTGTTATTTAAAGTGGCAATCAACGAAGCATAGCAAAAACAAAAGCAAAAATACTCAGCATAAAAGAAAGGCAAACTTTTAAGCCAAACAAAATCAGGGGGAAACAACAAAAAAAAAAACAAACATACACTAAAACTGCATGCGAATAACTGTAGACTGACCGTCTGATTTTACACAGAAAGGAGCGCTTGACGAAAGTTCGCAATGTGCGCATGATTTTTTATGATAAATCTCAGTTGGTTTGGAAGTTAAATGGTAGTATTTAGCGACTTATTCGCTAAAGTTAGATATTCTGAGTCCCAGTTTTGGTACCTCATCTGGTATCGAAAACTGAGACTGGGGCCTCAGTCACCATAAAGACCAAAAAGACCTTATCAAAAGCATATGAATGGTGCGAATATTTCTTTGAGCCCTAGCCCAGCATCACCCGACATTAATGGTATTCAAATACTTAAAGGCCGGTTTCCTGTAGTACTTATAGTATCGGAGTAAAATACGGTTTAATTATGCTTCTTGCAAGTGTCGGAAATATGTAGATAGGTAACCACAGGAAACGTTGGGTATTATGTTCCAAGGAATTGGATTGTCACATGAGTAGTATAAGACCTCTAGAACAGTAAACTGATCGAGCTCATTAACGATTCTGAAATAATAAAAAAGCTCCAGTGAAGAGATTTCTAGATTTAGCATCCGCAAAACAAGCTACAAGAGATCAAACGTTAACACACAGGACTGAAAAAGTCTCGAGAACTTTAGAGTAGTACACTGTTAGAGCTTTTAAGGATTCTAAACTACGAAAGCACAGTCAACATTCCAAAATGAAAAAGAAAGGCTTTTTATAAGCTTGCATAGGAGTTGGTTTTGAAGACTTTTTTATCACAGTTAATAGGTCTAAACATATTGAAAGGAAGCACCTTTCCAAATAAAAGTCATCAGCTGCAGTAGATTTAAGAGATACGTAGTAATTTAGAAAAGGATTGTAACTTTTTTCAGAATGTTGCTGGAAAATAAACGACTGGATTAAGATTTTGAAGGATGAAGATATATCTTAAGTTGGGAGGTGACAAAATAGATGAGTAAAATTTTATTTTGAGTGTATGAGAATAGATTTTTTAACCAAATCTTAAACTTTTGTAGTTGCTAGCTTAGGAGATCAAAATAATTTCTGGAATATTTTAGCAAAATATCAAAGCCAAGATTTCGAACTTTTTGCGCACCCCCTCCGGTACACTTTATTTTCCAAATTTGCACACATGCGTAACTCATTCAAGTGCCCGTCGGTCAAATAAATGTAATACCCATATGTGTAAGATAATAGGTTGGTATATTTTGGTGTGGCATTTGTACTTTAACGCTTACCTGTGGCCAAGAGGGATCATCTTCCGGTGGATAGGCAATGAAATGACGCAGCGTAAAACCGAAACCTTGATTCGGACGTCGTCGTATTACAACGACTTTTGGCTGTATGGCGCTGCTATTGGTGTCTTGCAACATTTTTTCGGCAAATGCGGCTATTATATATATTTTTTTATTTCAAATAACGGTGAATATGCGGCAGCACAGCTACTACTACTACTACTACAACAACTAATACTATTACAAACACGTATATTTATTTGATTTTGTGTGCGATACGCTGGCGGTCACTGTCTTAATGTCACTTCTATGGTATTTTACTTATTACGTTGACGGACGTCAGAGACGGGTAAAACAAGGTTGATTATAGTATTTAGTAATGGTGAGTTGGCAATGTTGGTTATTATTGGTTGTAGTTGGTGCTAGCTGTTGTTGTTGTTGTTTTTGTTGAAGACATGCGTTGTTGGATGTGCGCGTTCTCAAAATGTCCCCATTTGTGCTTACATACATTTGCGCTATAAATGGTAATTTTAGGTTGCTCGTTTTTCGGCGTTGCCTTTGTTGTTGTATATGGTGTTTTTTTGCTGTAAATTTTGTATTACAACTTTTTACTTTGCGTTTTGAGTTTTTTATTTTCTTTACGCTTTTTTTTGTTTGCTTTACTTGTACTGTTTTCTTTTCCGTTTTCCAAGGGGATTATGCGGTCTGATCCGGGGTTTTGTGCGTCATGCAATAACACTTATGTACAACCATCAGTGGATTTCTTTAGTCCTTCGCTGTAGTCCTGTGTTTTTCTTCGCTTATCGTATATCATTTCGTTTGGTATTGGTCCGCTACAACATAAGGCTTCTGCGGCCTGTGTCGCACCCTCACCACCAGCTTTTCGGAATTTCGACTTCCGCCTTCACACTTCGACTTTCTGAGTTTCGACTTTCATTAAGTCATGCTGTAAATTTACATTGTTCCTGTTCCGTTTTGCGTGTTTTTCAGATTTTTTCAATTTTCAGTCCATGTTTTTTATTTTGTTTATGATGCATTTGCGGCGTTTAATATGTACATAATCTGAAATAAAAGAAAAATATATAAAATAACCAAGTGAACATAGTTGTCTGCTTGCAGGTAATTAAGTTTATAAAAGACGGAAGGAAAGCTCGAATGTGTCTATAGAGACTTCCTATAAGTATGTTTGTGTAGCATGCCACGCCAATTAGCTAAATTACCAATGGTCAGTAATAATATTACCAAGTTACCAAGTTAGCTGGCATATAGTTCGATAAACAATAAGAAAAAAAATTTAAAAAATTAATGATAATTAAAAAAAAAAAATTATATAAAATAAAAAATTAAAAAAGTTTACTATATAAAATATAAGAAAAAAAAATTTAAAAAAATAACCAAACACCAAAACTAATTTACGATGGAAAATTTCAAACTCATTTCCGGTGCCAAAAACTAAAATAAAAAATTTAAAAAAAAACAAAAACAAATACAACACTACCACATCGGTAATCATAAAAATTACACAAAATTAGCGAATTGCGCCAAAACTCTATTGGAGCACTCGGAACGAATTGATTATTTCCGCAAACAAAGCTCAACAGCTGTGGCAGACGGACAGCAAATTGGTTTTCTTAAATTTAATTTCAGCTTGCTGCAACGTATATTAGTTACAACACCAAAGCAGATAAATATTTTTAATCCAAATTCGCGAAATCAGCACAAACTGATATACAAGTACATACAGATTAGGGTGATCCAAAAACTAAACTATTAAAGTTATGGGTGAAAAAGAACCTCTATACAAGAAAACAAGCAATAACGTTAACTTCGGCTGCACCAAAGCTATAATACCCTTCACAGTTGCATTTTGATCTGTCAGTCTATATGCCATATAGTGGTTCGATCTGAACAATATATTTGGAGCTTGTAGCGATGCCTTTGACAGTGAAGATATCTCAAATAAAAAAGTTTTCTCATACACGGCTATGTCTTATAGTGGTCCGATATCGGCGGTTCCGACAAATAAGTAGTTTCTTGGGGAGAAAAGGACTTGCGCAAAATCTCAGATCTATACTCGAAAACTGAGGGACTAGTTCGCGTATATACAGACAGAATCGACTCAACTCGTTTAACTGATAATTTACATTTATTTTTATAGGGTTTCCTTCTCGGTGTTTCAAACTTCGTGGCAAACTTGAAATATCCTGTTAAGGATGTAAGAATCCCCCTGAGGTAGATTTTTTTGGAAACTATAATTATACAATATTATATTAATGGTATCTTTATTGGAAAAGGATTTTTTTACGCATTTTTTAAATGAGAGAAACTTTGATTGCTCATCGACACCTTTTAAAATTAATCTAAACATTTTTTCTTGCAGGCATATTTTTTTTTTAACTCTAAATGCGAATGGTTAGTTTTGACGCAACCTAATACACTTATATCTTTGTATGCATGTTTGTGCGTGTCTGATTTTGCAAACAAATTAACGAACCGCGCTGAAAAAAAATTAAAACAACAACAAAAACACCAAACATGTAATTAAAAATTAATCAAAAATCATAGCAACAAATTGCATTTAACCGTTAAACACACGACTTGTATTTACTATACCATATTTCCAGTGTGTTGCACGCTGTGTTGTTGTAATGATTTAATGCTTAAAATACATAATAAACAATAAATAATGAATGGTGTAAAATAAAATTGAAAAAACAAATGCAACTAGCTGCCATCACAACAAGCATAGAAAATCACTACAACAAGAAAAACAACATTAAACTTAACCAACAATTGGCGAGTAAAGGCGCACGCGTGTCAGCGCAGCACACAGTGGGAAAGCGACTTTTATGAAAAATATTGTAAAATTCAATTAAAATTTAATGCTGCTGTGACGAGGCTGCTATGATGCGATTATTGCAAGAAAAGTCGTTGGGTGTGTATGTTTATGTGCGGGTCACTGACCTATTGTCTAGCATACGGGCAATTCATCACTAATACCATCACATCAGCTGGTCCATTCATTGCTTGCTTTTACGCTATTTCGGCTGTATTTGTGCCTGCGCAGCAACATTTTCAGACAAATATACATGTACATAGACAAACATCCGTGTATACAAAACACTCAGGTGTGATTTAGTATGTTTGCGCAGACATTAAGCTCAAAACGTTAATAGAGTTAAAGGCTTTCGATTTATGACTCTGCGACAAACGCTTTGGAGCTGAGTCTTTTCTGTAGTATGTAAATCAAATTTTGCCACAAAAATATAATAGAATATAATATAAAGCGTGAAGTTGGAAAAATTAATTAATTTTAAAAATCCAAAGAAAAACAATTAGAAAAACGAATATCTTCAGTATAGATCGGATCTTATTTGGCGAGCGCTGAATAGGTGTAACTTAGCAAGCAACATCAGTATAGTTTTACACTTCGCTCCTAAAAGTAGGCAACGAATAGCTCCAGAAAAAGTCAAACGATAACTTTCTTACCTTTTACCGAATAAAATAAAAAATCTGAAATTTTAAAATCCGATTACAATGTTTTTTTTTATACACAGAAAATGGATAATAACAATCCACAAATGGGGCTTATAGAGGAAATCGCTCGAAATTTTAATAGGGGCCCTATACTATATTACCCAGGGCTAGAATATGCCAAAACATAGATCACAGGCTGTGAGGACGGAATTAACAGAGCGGGATGCGAAATCCTTGCACTTGTACCTAGTAAGTGTAGGATGTCTCCTTTAACAGCTTCTTTTGAAAAGATCTTTCCTGAGTGAATTTTAAATTAGTATTAGGAATATTTCTTGTAATTTGAAAATCACAATAAACTATTCAAAACCAAAACAGCCAAACAAACAAACAGTTGAGAAAATATTGTCCATTGGTTCCAAAGATTCTTCGGCTCCTAATTAGGTTCTCAGGAAATCTAAGAATCTTTATATCGACAAAGTCATTCATGAAAGTAGAAAAATTTTATGACAAATCGCGACAACATGCGAAGTTGAGCCATTCTCTTAAAAATGCCGCGGACGCTTTCATTACTCTGTTATCAACATCTGAAGTTACTTTAAACTAACTTGACATTTCAGTTCATCTTAAAGTAGAGATTTATCCTTCTGGTACTGTCAAAATTGATATACATATGTACATCAATAGAATTTGTTGTTTGGCATCGCTGAGCCTTTGCTTCTATCTTTTGGTATATCCGGTATATAAACAGAAAATTCTATATTTATTACACCGAACAGCATTTGGGTTTTGGTTACAAATTATTTTATGTCTGAAAAATGCTTGGAGAACTAGGTGATACAATTGAAAAAACTTAACTTTTGCGTCAGTTGTGATTTAAGTCCTGTTTCGTTACGAATTAAGCATTCAAAAGGATTACCATGAGAGAATGAAAGCATTGTTTATCATTCCTTTGACTCGAGTTTATCGACCATTTCTGTATACAGCATCAAGCCCCTGTTTGTAAACTAAGAATTTGTGATAAAAAAAAATATATCTCCAACGCGCCTGTTTTGATAAATTTCGGGTCACTGTTGAAGAATTTCGACTTTTCTGGAACCCAATAAAAATTTTTTTGTCAGTCCAGGTCAAATTTGATCAGATCATAAAACCCAGCCCAGGTATGCTTGACATTCTTTAATTCCGTGCTTTCGAAATGCCAGCAATGATTGGAATTTTTTAAACAATGTTTATAAATTTCGCAGCGGAACTTATTTGACAGACTGTAGGAATGTAGAAAAAATAATAACAGTGACTCACGGTTTTGCGGTTAATTCTAAAAAGTAAAAAGTAGTGTAGAAACATAGAAAGGTAATTAAAAGAATTTCAATTAAAATTTGTGCTTTTTTAAGTGAGAAATTAACTGTAAACGAGCGAAAAAGTGTTGTGAAAGAGAGCAAAACAAAACAAAAAAAAACAATAAAAACAGCAATAAAGTCTATGAAAACGTTGTTACAACAACCACTTTAGCAAAAACAACAGCGGGCAGCTTCACTTTGAGTAACAAAATCCAACAAAAACAGAACGACCTTTTTTTCTCAGTTTTCTTTTTCTACTCTTGCAGCACTACTCCCATTAAACGAAGTGAAAATTATGACAAAAGGGAAAAGTAATGGCTGACAGAAAACCCTAAAAGGGGCAAAAAACAAAAAATGCTGCGCAATCGCAGAAAATTGAAATAATTATTTATCGCACACGAATTTGAGGCGGCAACTTGCGGCAGTAATCAGCCAAGATGAGGCAAGCACCTACCCAGCAGTAGCAGGAGTAGTACGCAGCATTTCAGAGCGAAGGCAGACGACAGACGATTGAGCTGACGCGGTCAGTCGGTGTATGAGTATTATTTAATAGCGCATTAAATTCATATTTTTAACGCGCTTGTACAATACCCAACGCTAGGCGAACAAAGCGAAGCGGCCCGAGTAAGCGGGTGAGCGTTCAAACATAAAAATAAAAATTTCACACTAAATTACAATTAAATCGTCACATTGTTGTTTACATGCATGGCAACCAGCCGGGAATTGGCGGACCAGCGGCCGCTGTATAGACGACGACGGGGCTTGAAAGCTTGAATGGCACACTGACTGAATGCTTCAATGAGCGTGTGACGTGGCGCGCATGCCTGTGTAATACAAATATATTTTCGGTCAACACCAACAACATTCACGCTTGTGTTTGTATGTAAATAGGTATGGAAATACAATTCGAAATGGAAAATAAAACAAAACAATTGCTTGAAGGTTGTTGCTGGGCGGCACTTGCAACAATTAATTACCCAGGCTGGCCGTCGTCGAAGTAAACACCCACCGGAAAACACAAAAGCAGTGGATGGTTGTTTCGTTGATTGTACATATGTATATACATATAATACTTATGTAAAAATATTTTTTGCAATGAAGTAATTCAGCTAATTTGAAATTAAAATGTCTTATTATATTCAAAATTATTAATTATTGTATATTCGGACTAATTAGAAAAGTGCTAGTTGGCGCCTAGTATTTCAGAATTAAAAAATGAATTTTCAAAATTTTTAACAGAACTTTAAGAACTATATTTTTTTTTGTATTTCAGTACACAAAAATCATAACCTTCAAAATAAATTAAATATTTTTCATTCATTTTTTTTAAACATACTTACTACTAGTGTTTTGGTACACAACTGATCTAGATATTTCTGACGAAAATGTGACTGATATCTCGCCTTCTAAAAATGCCACTTACTTCAGTTACTTGTATGAAAACAGTAGTCGGCTGACCAGTTAAATTCAAACTAGTTGTAAAGTACTTTGGAAGTAGTTCATTTTGCTGTGGGATTCATATGCTATTAGTGTGGATATGCAAGTAAAAACAATTTGTGGCAAAGTTATTGAATGTCTACTGTTATTAACTGAATCAAAAGTAATTTGCTGTATTTTCTGATGGTATAGCAGTGGTTGTCGCTGGGTTAAAATCACATAATGTATGTACTGAAATATGATTTTAAAGCACTCCGACTTGCACAAACACCCTACATAAATTATAAGAGGGGCAAAAATATAATTAAAAAACTTTTGAGGATCTACTGGAGAACGGTATAAAACAATATGTTCGGAGATTGTAGGTTACCTAGGACAATGATTCGTGAGAATATCTTGTAAAATAAACAAGTTTTCCATACAAGCACTGATTTTAATCGATCAGTTGTATGACAGCTATATGTTATAGTGTTGCGCTCTGAAAATTTTTTTCGAAGATTGCACCATTACAATTATTGTCTAATCCGTGCAAATTTCTTGTAGATATTTCGTCAACTGAAAAAGTTTACTTACAAGGATTTCATTTTGATCGTTTAGTTTGTATGGCAGATACCGGCGATATCGGCGATTTTGACAAATGAGCAACTTCTTGAAGAGAAAAATAATCAATCATACGAAGTTGTAGCTCTGAGTTAAAACAATAACAATTAAAATGCTGGACACAGTTTTCACACATTTAAAGGTTACAATATGCAAGATTAGTTTGATCCCCAACGATAAGATACATTGTCATTGGTAAAAAAAAGAATATGTGATACCTTTCTTATAATATTCTAAAAGTATTAATTTCGTATTTTTGACACGAAAAATATTTCTAAAAAGTTCTTTAGTATTTTAGTGAAAGTACGAGTTTTTTATCACCCTAAAAAAGAAGTTCATACAACTGCCTAATAATGGTGCAAACTCCTCATGATCTTCAAGAAAATGCAATTATTAAAGGAAAACTTCGTAATTGTTATTATTTAAACATTTACTAATTTAAGCTTTTATAAAAAGTGTATTGCAAAAGAAAGGTGTTCTAAAGCGATTTCTTATCATTCGCACACAGTGAGTTGAACTCTCAAGCTTCTTTAACAAGATGCCTTCAGTAATCAAAACAAAAATTTTATTATTTTTATGCAGTTTCGAAACTAGTACAGCTACCCTAGTGTGCAAAGTTATTTTCATTATTATTAAGCTGGCTTGTTATTAACTATTTGTTTGCTTTTAATTAGTACTAGCTCTTAAATATTTCAATCATTGAATGCGATGTACACACATACATATGTACATATGTATATTAAATATATATTTTCATATGTACATATGTATGTATAGTAAGCACATATAAACATATAAATTTTGTTGCAATACTGACAATTTCTTGTAATTAAGCGAACATTTTGAAATTGAAATTTTCAGCCAACCAAACGAGATTGGCTGATAACTCGGCGACTTGTGTGTGCTCCTACATGCTCTCACTATATAGTGTGTACTTACACAGAGCAATCGGGCGAATTGTGCAATATGCATATTCATAAATTTAGCTATTTATATGGACTTGTGTTTTTATGAGTATGTGTGTGTGTGTGTGTGTCCGCACAAAATTATCGCTTTTTTGAGCATATTAGCACTAATTTCTTAGCTCGCTCTTTATAGTTTCCAATGAATACGAAAAATACTGTTATTACAATTACTAATTTTGTGTTGAGTTTCTGAATTTTGTTTTTGTAATTTTTAAGTTTGTTCAGCTGTGCACTTTACTATCTGTGGCTGCGTTGAGCGCTTAAAGCGGCGGGCGTGTTTTCGTTCGTTGCCCGTCGCTCATACGTGCCCAACAAACTCATTTCAAATTGAATTTTCAAATTAATTGAAGTGTTTATCAATAAACTAACTCATGGTAGACAAGAAACCAAGCCAAACTAATGGGCCGCTCGAACGGCTGGCTAGCTTGTAAGAAAAAACCTTTTGAGGCAATTGTGGTTCGTTAAGTTTGATGGAGGGAATACAATTTTGATTAAACTAAAGCGCTGCAACTAATTAAAAATTATACTGAAAGTTGGTAAAACAATAAGATAACAGCTTCGTTGGCTTTCAAATTTAGGTAAAACATATATATAGGTATATATATATATGTGTATACTTGGTTTTATATGCCAATAAAATAACTCTCAATAAAACAGTTCCAAAGTAATTAAATGCAACACTTCATCAGATTATATTATTTACATAGAGTTTCATTATTGGAAATCAAATTTATGCTCCATCGAAATAAATAATATTGGAACCAAATCCAAATACGGATACTTTGGCGACATCAAAAAGATTACACCCGCAGCTGGAACGTAATCATGGAGTAGATCTCATCGACCTTTGCAGTGAGCTATGGACAACATCTAAACATAATTCCATATATAATATAACAACCTCAGATATACGCGAAGAATATTGATGGAAAGGTTGTTTTCAGACTTAGGGACGCTGACTACTTGTTTCCAATTGTGGAACTTGATTTCGCAGCCGATGATTACTGAAAGGGACATGTGAGCTGGAGAAGGAACGTAGTGAACTTTTTCACGAATTAATCGAAGCCCACTGTAGAGGCTTTGAAGCAGAAGAGAGAGCCACAAGAACCACTGCGCCGGAATACAGTACACTTCAAAGAAGTTGGCATCTATTCCAAAAGCAGAGCAGCAGCTTTCAATCATCAGAGAGGGGATGGGACCAAACTGCACTGCCTTCATGCGATTTGAAACTTGACGCCTGGACTTCGCGTAAACTCGGTGAATGCTGAATTATGACTGCCAGGTAGTAAAACTTTGGGCAGTCCATTCCGATTACGTAGATCCGATTCTTGTAGGAACATCAGCTGTAAGTTCTAGTGTTATTTAAAAGAAAGTGTTTGAAGGGCGCTAAAGAATACTGAATAGGCAGGAGCCTAATCGGAATATAAGTAGTTTATTTATATCTTTTCATGTTATAAAGAATATTGAAGAAATCCACAATTAAATTTCTGAAGTACCATCTGATCAAATATGCCCCGCGCGATTTTTGAGCATTAATAAAGGTGTATGGATGATTCGCATGAAACTACAATAGTTTTCGATGACTTCACGACCTTCTCTGAACGCTTTGTGCCACTCAAATACTTTGGTTCGTGATAACGTAGACTCCCTAAAATACTTCTGCAACATTTTCAACGATTCCGTAGTCGAGATTCTATTGGAAACATAAAATGTCAAGGAAAATCGTTCCACACAAACTGTTCGCCACCAAACGCACACTAAATGAGACATGGAGATCCAACTTTAGACGAACCTTAAAAACAAAAATTGTTCCAATTTAGAATAAATTAAATCGATTCGGCTTGAGCGCGCAGTTTTAATGGATCAGTCCGGGTCAATTTGATAAGACGGTATGTTAGGATTTCTAGTGCGGATAGTACCTAACTAGGCTAACCGAACCATTAAAAGAATAAGGGTCACAAGGTAGTATACTTGTTGACGACTTCGATCCTCAGTAAACGTTTTATAAGAATAATGGCAGTTCCATAAAAAATTAGTAAAGTTTAAACTTCAAAAAAAAACTTTGAAAAAAACTGCACTTATCGACAATAATAAATAGAACTTTGTTTCACACAATAAACTGAGCTTTCACCAGCGTAAGCATACAAAAGCTGGATATTATTATGGTACTATAATATTTACGAAGATGAAAGCACCATTTTTGGCATAATTTCTGCTATAATCTTCAGTAATTTTCAGACATTTTAAAAATCCCATTATATATTATTTTTAACTACAGTTACACGCCTACGACAAAGTAAAAAATACACAAACTTATTCGATTGCACGAAGTGATGATGTGCATAAGTATGTTTGCATGTTTATTGTTGTTGTAAGTGAAAAGTAATATTAGAACTTGTACATTAATACATACAAACATACATACACACACACACACACATATGTGCACTTTTATTTATAAGTATGCCAACAATTGCACTCACCGCCGCACAGAACCCACGCACAATGACAAAGAATTGGCACACATTCCAAACAATTTATTGACTGACGAACTGACGGCCATTATAAATGTACATAAATACACACACGCTCTCATATATACATATATATCACTGTACAAACATAGCAATTGACAAAGCGATTCATAAACAGCATAAACAAAAACAACGTCGCTGCATAAAACAGTCAATAGTCAACTGACAATTGACAACAACTGGCAACAGTCAACTGTCAAACGACGGCCGTGCAGAGCGGAGGAGACGCACCGCAATAATGAAGAGGAATTACAATTGAACTGATTGTCTGACCGCGCACTAAGTGAAAAAGCAACAATAATAGCAATACTAATGTGCGAGAAAAAACAACGACACCAACAATGACAACAACATCAACAAATAAGTGATAATATTGA